GGACTTCATCCCTTAGCTCTTGCATATTTCTCTGCAGCTCCATCAGAATGGTTATGAGCTTTATTTTTAATTCTTTTTCTGGAAGACTGGTTAGGTCTATCTCCTTCTCAGGGTTTGCCTCTGTGATCTTGGTCTGTATCAATTTCTTCTGCCTTTTCATGGCGATAAATATATTTGTGGGGAGCTGGCACGTGTGTTGGGTAAGAGAAAGTCCGTTCTTGCCAGTTTGTGGCCTTCCTCTCCTGGGAGAACAGCGACCTCTAGCGGCTTATGCTGGGCAGCTGTGTGCAGACGGGGCTTCTGATCTTGCCTGGCCGCTATGGAGTTTATTTAGCTCTGCAGTTGCTGTGGGCGTGACCTGCCTCAGGCTGCTTCTCCAATATGGCGGAGCCGCTTAGGAGGGGGAATGGGTGGGAGGCTGTTTATCACGGTGAGGGGCCTCCACGCTGCGTTGCAGGGGTTTGGGCACCCAGAGTTCCCCGGAATTTGCAGCTGCTGGGCTAAGTATCCAGGGTGCTTCCGTCCAGCTGTGGGGTCCCTGTCCCTTTAAGACTTTTAAAAAGCACTTGCTTTTCTTTGTCCTGGGTGCGCCGGCTGCGGGGACCCGCTCACAGGTCTTGCTGCCCTGTTTCCCTAGTTTCCAGCACCCCATGCACGCACTGTGTGTCTGCACTCTGGTGCAGATGGCTGGGGCTGGGTGTTCAGCAGTCCTGGGCTCCCTCGCCCTCCCTGCTCTGACTCCTCTCCTCCCGCCGGGAGCTGGGGTGAGGGGCGCTTGGGTCCTGCCAGGCTGCGGCCTGTATCTGACCCCCTTCTCAAGGCGCTGGGTTTTCTTGGGTGTGGATGTGGTCTGGCTGTTGTCCTGTGTCTTCTGGTCTCTCTTTTAGGATTAGTTGTATTTGTTGTATTTTCAAAAATATATATGGTTTTGGGAGGAGATTTCCGCTGTTCTACTCATGCCGCCATCTTGGTTCTCTTTTTTCCTCTCCAGTATTTTTAAAGCTCTTCCCATGATTCTAATTTGAAGACAGTCGAGAACTACTTGTGTGGTTCATGAAAGACCTCATAGAACACCAGGTTTTTTTCCTCCCAGTTACATGGCCTAGTACACTTTCCCTGAAATCCATTTTTTTCTTGCACTCCTTTCATAAACATCATGGCTAATTCCTTCTCTTTTTATCAAGTTCCAACTTAAAATATTGAGCTTAATGTCACCTCAATAACATTAGTCTTTATTACTCTATCTAAAGGTATATACTTTTCATATTGTATGTCACATATTAGGTAGGATATTTATTTTGTGTATAATGTCTTTTTTCCTACACTTGACTCAATTCTGTGAGGACAGAGGTTTAGGGTGTGTGTGTATGTGTTTGTATCTGAATCTTACTTGACATTAGTTCTCTAGTTGATTGCACAGTAGTTATATAATGCATAGAGGATCCCAATACAATATTGCATAATTTGAGTGCTTATAAACACCGATATAACAGCTTGAAATATGTTTTTCTGAAACTTTGTTTTAGTGTTACTTGGATAGATGTGGTAGTGGTACGGTTAAAAGGAAACAAATAATTTAAGGGCAAAGGACAAAAATCCTTACTCAAACTGATTTAAACAATAGGAAGACAGCCTCACATAATTGGAACGCCAGCAGTAGTAGTCGTATGACACCCAACTCAGTAATTTCTTTATGAGTCTGGATTATCTCTCTCCATTCTGTCATCCTTAGTGTCTATTTTATATTTAGATTGGTTCCCTGTGTGGTCACAAGAATGCTAACAGTGACAATCAGGGCAACATGATTTCTTGTGCCTTTGATAGGCAAGAGAAGAGAACATTTCTACAACCATGGAATGTCAGTCCTTTTTTCTCGGACCAACTCTTGGCACATGTTCCCTTCTAGGTCAGTAAGTCTTGTAAAAAGAATGCTGTGCACTTACTGGCTTGGTATAATCATAGAAGGTAGGATGGATTTGAGTGAATTAACTACATTATTTGCTAAAGATGTTGAGATATATTTATGCTCTACCATAAAGAAGGTGGTTTAGGTTTTACATCAACACATTTTATTGACTAATTGGATCCCAAGGGTTGTGAGAATGGGGAAATAAGATAGGAAATGTGAAATAACAACTGTTTCTGGGGGAAAATATGCTTGACTTCAGCTTTTGACATGAAATTTGATTTGAATATATGAAATATGGGATGAGCCTTTGCTGAGAGTTTATATTAAGCATTTAATTGGAAGGTGCCTTCCTGAAAGTTAGCTGTTAAATTTATGAGTATGGATAAGGTTGTCCAAAAGATGCTTAGTGTGAGAATGGAAAGAGAGCTTAGTCCTAGAATATGTACATTTAAGAAATTATTAGGTGAACTGGATTCTTGAAAAAAAAAAATAATAGGGAGTAGAAATAGAGATTAGCAGAGAATGATCTGAGAGTATATCATAAAAGCCAAGACAGTGGAAGCAGAAGTTTCTTCTGGCAATGACAAATGAGGACCAAATCTCCTGCTGAGAACAACTAGAAGGGTTGGGTTGTGTGAAATATATACATAGTAGAGCTAGCTCTCAAAAGCACTGAAACCCAACTGCTGGTTGTCTCAATCCTTGATTAGAAGAGAGTCATCTGAGACTGCCCCTTAGCCTAGCTGCCTGAAGCAAAAGTAAATTTTGTTCCTCGAAGAAAATAGTACCATCTAGAGCTTTAAATTATCTTTCTTTCCACCTGAATGTCTTATGTCCTGTACTCATTCAGAAATAACTGGACATACTTGGAGATCTGACACATGACTAGAAACCAACAATAGCAAATAGAACCTGGTCTACAGATACTGGAGATAGCAGACACATGTAAAGTATCTGTGCTTAATATAAGTTCAAAATAATGAAAGATGTGATTAATTTGGGCAAACAAGAAGCCATATAAATGAAGCATAAGTCGCTGTAAGCATAAATGAATTTGTGTAAATATAAATATACATGATATGTATATGGTTTATGAATATATACACATACATGTATGTATGCATAATTTTAAATGAGAAATTTCTGAATTGAAGCTTAGGGGGGATGAGAAGATAGCAAATATAGAAAAAGACATTAAGAGATATACAGAATAAGGTCTAATGCATTTAAGTGAAGACCAAGATGGGGAGTAGAAAGTAAAAATCCACAGAATCAAGAAGTACTATGGAACCTGGACTGGATATGATCAAAAAGACTACCCCATACATTCATTGTAGTCACACTGCTATAAAAAAATGCACACATACACAAATAATGTCCCCCTTTTCCTGTTTCACACTTTTCCATCCTGACATTAGCTTTAAGAAACAGAGAACCTAAATAGTTCTGATTGTTAATAATGTATTAAATATTTTTAAATAATCAGATGAAAAATCAGTGCTGGAACAAAAACCTTTTAAGCCAGCTGCTCCACAAGTCCCACCCAAGAAGCCTACTCCACCCACCAAAGCCAATAATTTATTGAGATCTCCCGGAACAGTGTACCCAAAGCGACCTGAAAAGCCAGTTCCTCCACCACCTCCTGTAGCCAAGTAAGTTTTACCTAATTTCAAGTTAGTTTATTGATTTACTTGCGTTTGACATAAATGCCTCAACTTCTCCCTAAATCTTAAAATAATTTTTAAAATATTTGTTTCCCGTATTTTTTCTATAGACTATAAATTTTCTGTTAAATGTTATTAAGCTGTTTTTATATTTCAGATTTTATTGTGATTAGTCTTTGGGTAGAGGTTTCCTTAATTCTTATGGAAATAATTTTATAGAACAAAAAGAAAAATCAGTATTATGCTAAAATATCTTTAGTGTTAATAAATCACAGTATTAAAAAATGGTCATGTTTCATATAAGTGATTTTTGCATATGTTTGATTTTTGTCATTTTAGGATTAATGGGGAAGTTTCTACTATTTCATCAAAATTTGAAACTGAATCACTATCAAAACCAAAGCTAGATTCTGAACAGTTACCACTTAGACCAAAATCAGTAGACCTAGATTCACTGACAATTAGGAGCACCAAAGAGACAGGTAAGTTAACATGTGGAAAGGTGGTACTTTTAAAAAAACTTGCCAGTATAGTTTTCAGAAACTATTTAAAATAAGCAATTTATATATACAATGTGGATAGATAAGGTGGAAAGTGAAATTTGTTTAAAATCTGTAAAGCCAAAATAAAACCAAAAGAAGATAAGTGGGCAAAACATTTATGATCTACATAAGCTTTCTTACTGGTTAGTGGGCTGTGATGGAAATTAAAAGATCATCCGTTTATCATTCTGTCTACCTGTAACAGAATAACCATACCATCTAACTTTTTAGTTTAAAAAAATTAAAGAAGTGACATACAGACTTTCAATGCCAGTACTAGATTATACTGAAGAAGACTATTTTTATCTCTCCACATAATCTCAAGGTACTTTTATGTCCAGTTCAGAAAAATAGGCTTTTTATAACTTTCTAGTCAGCAGGTTTTGCTTCTTTAGCTAATAACTATTATTCCTTAAGTTTTAGGACTGATTTTTCAGTCCATTAAACTACATAAGCTTTCTTACTGGTTAGTGGGCTGTGATGGAAATTAAAAGATCATCCGTTTATCATTCTGTCTACCTGTAACAGAATAACCATACCATCTAACTTTTTAGTTTAAAAAAATTAAAGAAGTGACATACAGACTTTCAATGCCAGTACTAGATTATACTGAAGAAGACTATTTTTATCTCTCCACATAATCTCAAGGTACTTTTATGTCCAGTTCAGAAAAATAGGCTTTTTATAACTTTCTAGTCAGCAGGTTTTGCTTCTTTAGCTAATAACTATTATTCCTTAAGTTTTAGGACTGATTTTTCAGTCCATTAATTATCTTTATTTCTATTCTGGTCTTTTATATCTCTTAGTTATAAAATGTAAAACTTGAAACAAGTCTTGATAAAGGTTTCACTATTAAAAGCATTGCACAGTCATTACTTGTAGTAAATTATTGCATGGTACTTCACACTTGTATTTGGATTTTATGCATTTTCAAAACACCTCATATTGTTCTTATTTTATCTTATTATAGTAACTAAGAGGCTGATACTATTTTTCCCTCTTCATATCTAAAAGTAAGATACAGACAAATCAAATCTTCAAGATCACATAAATCAGAAGATAACTTTTTAAAGCCCCTTTGTATAAAGTGCTCTATAATATTATATTTAAAAACTTGCAATGTCTTAACATATTTTTTTAGTTTCAGTGTTAAGATTTCATGTTTACATTTAAACCTGAAGGCCAGTTATACTAAGGTCTTTTTGTCACTATATTGTAAAATGTGCTGCTTACCTACATTTCAAAAAATTTTAGGTCATTTTTTTTTTTTTTTCTTAGAGCTCTCTTTTCCATTTGCCAATACAAAAGCTCTGATCTCAGCATGACCTCCTTTAGTTTTTAAATTTGAATGTTTTATAGATCCTTAAATATATTTGGATCCTACATACTCTAGATGAAGCCACATAGTCATTAATAATTTCTAGAATTGAGTTTTTGATTGTATATAGAATCATTCACTAAAATGTATTCAGTATGTTTCACCATTATCTGGTGAAAACTTTTCTTACTGAAAAAATAAAAACAAAAACATCTTTTTAATATTTTTAAAAAATCTCTGTTTTTTTACTGAGGTTAGTGATAATTCCATCAGTTCTTACAATTTTTTATTTAAAATAAAGCTAGAAATGTGTTTTCAAAGTAATAGTTGGAGAAAAAAGACTAAGTGTACTTTTAAATTTAGAAATCAAAAATTCACTGGTGTTAGCTCTTGAATTTCTATGATTTTCTGTGATCTTTGTCAGAAAAGTCTTAAATTTTAATGAGTCTCTTAGCTAAAAGAATAATATTGAAAGCCTCTGTTTTTTCTGTTACTTTCTTCAACATTTCTGTATCATTCTTCAACATTTGCTTTACTTAGTTGTCTCAAGGTTGTGGAAATCCTAAAAAAAAATTTAAGTAAATGAAGTTTTCTCTTTCTTCAGAACTTTTTCCATATATAATGACCAGCAAGCTTTGTTTCCTTTGTTACATTACTAGTAGAAATAACACATTGCAATAATGTCAGACTGTTGGCAGTTGAAAAGTTCTATTTTTTACTTTGCTTCATTCTCAAATCTTGTCTTATATCCTGACCTTTATTTACTTTCTTTAAAAAATAGAGGCTTTGTGGAATGAAGTTTGAAAATTTCTAATTTCTGGTATATTTTTTCTTCAAATGAATGGGGAAGTAATTTAGAGATGCTGAGACTTAGGTAAGGTCAAAAAAATAACAGCTGACTTCCAACCTGCTGTCCTTTATTCCTTCTACTATTGGTTTATTATACTTACACCCTGTAAAGTTCAGAAAATATGTAGGCACATACTGTGTGCTAACCATCATAGGCACTTTCAGCAAAATGTAACAGTTTACTGGTTGAGAGTGTTGCCTTGGTGTTGATGGCTGCCGACTGATGAGGGCATGGCTGCTGAAGGTTGGGGTGGTTGTGCCAATTTCTTAAAATGAGACAGCAGTGAAGTTTACTGCTCAAAGTCATCCATTGAATCAACTTTTTCCAAAGTCTTGTGAGTGATGATATTTTGACTTGCCATGAATCACAAATGTTCTCACTGGGATAGAGAATGGTGAATCCTTTCCAGAAGGTTTTTAGTTTACTTTTGCCTGTATCCATCAGAAGAATCACTACCTATGGCAGCAGCTAAAGCCTTATGAAATTTGTTTCCTTAGATAATAAGACTTGAAAGTAAAAATTACTCTTTGATGCGTTGGCTACAGAATGGATGTTAGCAGGCATGAAAAAAACATCTCATTGTACATCTCGTGGGTGGCTGGGTGCATTGTCCGTGAGCAGTAATATTTTGAAAGGACTTTTTTTACTGAGCAATAGGTCTCAACAGTAGGCTTAAAATATTCAGTAAATTATGAACCATGTTATAAACAGATGTGCTGTCATCCAGGCTTTATTCCATTTGTAGAGCACAGGATCTAAAGGGCCCAAGGATTTTCAGAATGGTAAACTATCATTGGCTTCAACTAAAAGTTACCAGCTGCATTGGTCGTAACAAGAGAGTCAGTCTGTCCTTCGGAACTTTGAAGCCAGGAATTGACTTCTCTCTAGTCATGAAAGTCCTAGGCGCATCTTTTTTCCAATAGAAGGTTGTTTCATCTCCATTGAAAATCTGTTGTTTAGTGTGGCCCCTTTCGTTAACGATCTTAGCTAGATAATTCTGGATAACCTGCTGCAGCTTCTACATCAGCACTTGCTGCTTCACCTCGCAGTTTCCTGTCATAGAATTGGCTTCTTGCCTTAAACCTCTAGAGCCAACCTCTACTAGTTTCTTCTGCAGCTTCCTCACCTCTTTCAGCCTTCACAGAAGTAAAGAGAGGACCTTATGCTGGGTTGGGTTTTGGCCTAAGAGAATGTTGTGGCTGGCTTGATACTCTTTCCAGAGCACTAAAACTTTCTTCATATCAGCAAGAAGGCTGTTTTTCTTTCTTATCATTGGTGCGTTTACTGGAGCAGCACTTCTAATTTACTTCAAGAACTTTTCCTTGTGTTTGCAACTTGGCTAACTAAAGTGAGAGGCCTAGCTTTCTGCTATCTCAGCTTTTGACGTGCCTTCCACGTAAAGCTTAATCATTTCTAGCTTTTTATTGGAAGTGGGAGACTTGTTACTCTTCCTTTCACTGGAAGGCTTAGAGGGTTGTTAATTGGCCTGATTTCCATATTGTTGTGTCTCAGGGAATAGGGACACCCAAGGAGGGGGAGGGAGATGGGGGATGGTGGGTTGGTGGAGCCATCAAAATACCCACAGCATTAATTAATTAAGTATGCCTTTATACATGGATGCATTTTGTGGCACCCCAAAATAATTACAATAGTAACATCAAAGATCACTGATCACAAATCATCATAACAAATATAATAATAATCAAAAAGTTTGAAATATTGCAAGAATCACCGAAATGTGACACAAAGACACAAAGTGAGCAAATACTATTGGGAGAGTGGTACCAATAGACTTGCTTGATGTAGAGTTACTACAAATCTTCAATTTTTAAGAAACACAGTATCTGTGAAGTCAATAAAAAAACATAAAACAAGGTATGCCTGTAAATTCTGAAAATTGAGTTCATATTAAGTAGCAATTATTTACTGAACAAATATAGTTTTAGGCACAGGTAGTTTAAGATAAAAGGCATAGCTGCTGACAGCAAATTGCTTGTCTCAAACCTCAGCTCATAAATAAAAAAATTTAAATAGCATATGCAGCTAGCTCTTTAACGTAAGTTTTAGAAAGTTTAAAGTGTGAAAATCTCTTTGGCATTTTAAGGAGTTTTATATGTAAAATATAATAGGTGAAAGTATACTGACTTCGCTGTTTAAAAAATGTGAGTTTTAAATTACTGATTGATCATTGGCAAGTTTCTTCTCTTAATCTATTTTCTTGCTTAACTAAGAATTGAATGACCCAGTATATCGATGATACCTATTAGAATACCTGATATGGGAAGTTGTTATAAAATGTTATTTCCCTTCTTCTCCCCATCCTCCATTGTTAATCCCATCTCCTGTTTATGCTATTATCTATAAAGGATATAAATTTTTTACTCTTATTTTCATATATAATTTTCCTGGATATGATAAAGACATACATAAATATATATCTTTGTGTATAAATACAGACTCTGGTTTTTGTACATATGAGAAAAACATTCCTAGATATTCCAATTTGGTTTTCTTTTTCCTTTTTTTAATGAGTCTCTCTATATATTCTCACATATAAGATAGTACTACAAATTGCAGAGCTGTTAGAACCATGTTTTAATTTTTTTTCTTTTCTTTTCAAATATTTAATTAAAAATTGGTTTTAGGATAAACTCAGTGCTACTACTGGTTAATTGTAAAGTCCACATGGTCTCAGTATTTCCAAAATGGTAAATTTTCCAGGAAGTAGAATTGGTTTACAATTAGTTTTTTTAAAGGACAAGATAGAAAATTAGATTGTATATAATTAAATAGTAATATAGCTATTAATTTGAGAAAACACACCTGATGAAACATTCTTACCTATTTGATTGTTTTTCTGTGATAAATTCTCCAGGCTGACAAAAAATTTTAGAGATATATATAACATTTGATTCAAAACACTTCATTGTTAAATGGGGAAACATTCTTTCGCTTCAGTTCTATTTGATAATTCATCTGTTTTCCTTTGGATTACTTGCCCAATATTTATTCATGTATTTCTTCCAGAAAGAATTTATGGTGGGATTTTTCCGATGAAATACCTATCTGTTGAATAGTAGACACGATAAAAAAATTTGTATCTAAACTAGGATACAAAACAAAGCAGAGCAAGCACTACACTCAACAATGTTGAATTTACTTGGAGAACAAGAGCAGAAAGTAAAATTTTTCCTTGATAATTGTCATTACAGAGAGTATCATATAAGGTGTTACTGAATTTTCATTTATACATACATGTATAAGATTTTAAGTGTTGTGTTATATTTTTATAGTGAGATATTTAAAAATATTTGTCGTATTTTTCTTACTATACAATAGAACTTAGATCACCTCTTTTATTGTACATATTTGATGTGCTGAAGACTAAAACTTGATTAAAAGGTTTCTAATTTTAAATTTGTTCACCATGTAAGAACCTGTTCGTTATGCTTCAGAAGATTGGAGACTGTTGAGAATTAGGCTTGGGGTTGATTAATGATTGTGCATTGAGTCCCCTATACAGAATTTTATTGTTAACAACCATTTGATCAATAAATATGAGAGATGCCCTCTCAAAAAAAAAAAGGTTTCTAATTTTAGGTGTAACTATATTAATGAGTTGTTAATATATCGATTTATTACCGTGACCTCTAATTAGTAGTAAAACATCCTCTTGGAAGTTATCTTGGTGTTCAGTGTGTTTAAATAAATAATGGCTTCTTTCTAGTTAGGTTTATATTGATATTAATTTTTCCTTTAGAAAGAAAAGAACAAATCTAAAATGTAATACACATCTTATATAAGTTTAGGTAAACTGCAGTTGGTATATGTTAAACATTGAAATGGTTCTATTCATTTTGCAAGTGTCTTTTTTTCCTGCTTTGTAAAATAATTTTTTTGGTTTAGTCTTTTTTTCTAGACATTCCTATCCTTGACTTTTCTTTCCAGATTTTGTTTCCTAGCCTGTTTGCCATGTTTCCCTTCTTACGTGTCAGGAAATTATCCTACCTTTCTCCATTTTGGTAAGATGACAATTTGTGAAAGAAATCACAATAGTATTTTCAATATAAATAGGTAGTGCACATTGATTTTTCTTTGTAATTTTACTAAAAGTTTACTTGTTTGTCTGTCTATTCTAACCCTTTTGGTTTTCCATTTTAAAATAAAATGAAATTTGTGTTGGAAAAACTTTCCTGATTAGTGTAAGATAAAAGTTCTTTTTTCATTGACAACCATAAAAGTCAGTTTATTCCAAATTTGATATTTCATTTTGATTTCTAAAAATTTCATGTCTTAGACAGTATGTAGGAATGCAAATGGCTGGCAGAGTGACAATGTGATTATAAGAGTTAAGTGATGGTCATGCCTTTTATGCCATGGATAAAGTGTAAATCCATTGTTATTAATATTAAATAATTTCAAAAGTATTCAAATATATTATGAGTCCAGAATGTGCACTATTTCATTTTACTAATATAATGGCTTAAATGGAGGACCTGAGAGAGTTTCAGAATAGTAAAATTATTTGTCTTGGTGTTGTGGCCCAAAACTGGACATATGAAAGGCATTTTTACATGAGCATGGTACATAATTTCATAAATCTACCTTTTATTTACCCTTTCAGTTTCATTCGTCTTCATCCCTTCCTATGTTTGTTTTTTCTCTTTCTGGAAGTTGCTTAAATATGCATTTGAAAATAATCTCCACTGGTCAAAATTACTGGATTGTACTTTTCAAGTCTTTTTGTGTAGTTTATTAATATACATTACTTATCATAAAAAGCAATTTTTAACCCTTTGAGCTACAGCATATTTCTTAACATCTTTTAAAATATTGATGGTTTTGTTTATGAAATTTACAAGTGGATTGAGGTATTTAATAATGGTCTTTCAAGGTCTTACACATTATATAATGCATGATTTGTTATATTAATATAATGAAACAACTCAAGACAAAAATTAAACTAAGCACATTAGATTGCTTCTTGTGGTGCATTAGCCTTTTGACTAGATCCAAGATAGAGCCCACATGTAAAGAGATAAACAAATTAACAGAGGCCAACTAATACACAAAGTTGTTATAAAACACACATTGCCAAACAGTGATACCTCTTCCTCTGCCTTACCTTTTTGTCCTCCGTCTTTCTAAAAACATTTCTCTAAACAAATTACTTTGAATATGAAACTGGATGAATAAGCTCTGAGAGCAGTAATGATAAGTATTTTTAGATTTCTTTTAAGAAGGGACAGGTCACTGAGTTGGGACATCTAAGTATTTGACAGGAAGTATCATAAGCATCCAGGGCAGTGGTAATGTGAAGAATGAGTCAACACCTGGAAGACTAGGCTGAAGATACCTGCTGCCATCTTGAGTATCTTAACTGTATTTAATAGTCCTAGTTTGGAATCTGAGCTAAGGGGAGATTATATATTGATACTGAAAGTGTCTGAGGTTATCGTTAGGTGCATGCATCCCTTTCAGGTATCTAGGTTTCTAAATTAAAGATAACTCCTTTAGCAAGATTTTCTGGATAGTCTAGCAAATGGGAAGGTATTATATACCATTGTTTCAGAGATAACACGTTACCATCATTTGTCCTTAAGCCCAAGTTATATGATTAAAGGTCAGCAAGCCTTTGGTGGTAGGGAAATAAAAATGATGTATTTTCCTCTGATACCCAAATTTCCTTAGTTATATATCTTACAATTCCTAAACCTGGTAATGTCTCGGAAAAATGTGGTGAACTATAAAAAGTTTGAATCCTAGCTATGAAATACTCTTCACATACATGCATACATATAAAGGCACATTAAATTATACTTCCACTTTACATTGAGAAATGCATTTGGAAAGCAGCAGGGTCCCAAGTATAGCTGAGTCCTTAAAATTTGAATATTAGTATACTACTTGAATTTCAAAACAAATTGTGTGTTACTTTTCTGATATAATTAAGAGAGAAGTAGATCACACTTTTTTTTATAAGCAACAACTTAAGATGACAACTACTACAACTTATGGTACAGATTTGTATCTTTCAATAGTAACTTTTTGTTGAAGTCTAAGTCTCTGTTAGAGACATGAACTTTATACTGTTTATAAAGTCTTGTGCTATAAAATGTTAAGGTAAAGAGGATGTTTATTTCTAGGGTGAGTATTGTTTTCCAAATGCATATAAAAAGCACAGGTGAACTTGTGAGTCTTAGTGGTACTCTTTTTTAATTTATTATTTGTTAAAACTCCAGAAGTATTAGCTTTTACCTTTTAAAGTGTACAGTTGTCTCTTAGTAGATATGTTTAATTTTATTCTACAGATCTTGTAAATTTTGATGACATAGCTTCCTCAGAAAACTTGTTACATCTCACTGCAAATAGACCGAAGATGCCAGGAAGAAGGTTGCCTGGCCGCTTCAATGGTGGACAGTCTGTGAGTTAACACTTAATGTTGTAAAACAGATAATTTAGGAAATACAGAGTCCTTCTAAAGATAATGAGGGAGGATTTATAGCTTCACTGAAGTTTAAAAACCAGGAAAATAGGTGTTATACTCAAGTGGCAAATCGTTGTATTTAATGAGAGAACAGGTTAAGTCAATTCATTTCAGTAGGGTGAGGAATGAAAGGTTATAGAATCAGAAATAAAAAGCTGTCCTGAGACCGTAACTGCAGAGCATAGGGTCAGAAGGGGAAAGGGTATCTTTAATGTACCCATCGAACAACAATAATTAGAATTGAGTGGTACATACTCACTTTCGGAAGCAATGAGAACTTTTTTTTTTTTTTCAGTGTTTTTTGTAGCACTAATCCAGGTACTTAAATGTGTGACTTCCTTTTATGCCTTCTGTACATTGCCCAGGATACTGGTAGTATTTTAATGTTAACATATTATCTCTTAAGCACTATAGTGATTTTAAATTACATAAGTACAGAAAGCTTTTGTTGCTAAGAGGTAGAGAATTTTTGCTTTCAAGAATGCAAGTGATGTTACCCAGTTTGAAATGTCCTGTTAACAGTAGTGAATATCTGAATGTTAGCTATTGAAACCAATAGTAAAAGTTACTTATTTTATTATCCAAATACTCACTACCTTTTACTTTTTTGGTGTGTCTATTTCTTGATTTTTAAAAAAATCATTTAGCCAACTCAAAGCCCAGAAAAAATATTGAAGTTACCAAAAGAAGACGACAGTGCCAACTTAAAGCCATCAGAGTATAAAAAGGATTCCTACCCTGCAAAGGTGAGGTGCAATGCGATGTAAGATTTGTGTTATGTTGTCGGGTTCCTTGTGAACATCAAACTTGTGGAATTTAAAGTGTCCAAAAAGTGTTTCTTACACTAAGAAATCAAATAATCCCTGCTGAAAAACTGAGTTGTTAAACTTAAGTCACACTGTTTTCTGTAAGTTTGTTTTAGAAGAGTACTATTAATGTTACTGTAAATGAGCAATATAAATGTTATATGTTTTGTATTTTTTAAGGTGTAGATACATCCACCTGTTTTCATTTTCCCATTAAACATACCCTCTTTAGGTCAGAAACAATCACTGGTTTACTCCAGTGCATAGCAAGCTTGGTGCATAGCACCTTCATAAGCAATGAAATATATATTGGGATGAGTGGCAGAATATATGGATTCTTCCATCTATTACATGGTGCTAAGACTCCTCTACACTCTTGCTGTTTTTATTTAAGATGGTATTACCACAACTGACACACATCTGTATTTTAAGTTCTGTTTTGTCCTCAAATTCATTCCAGGGCATTTGGCTGCTATTCCAGTGTATTAGATATTTAATCTGATTTTCTCAGCTGTCAGTTGTGTGTTGAAATTTTACTTGCTGTTACTTCAGTGAAATTGTTAAAGGGTGTCAGGCATTCATTTTAATGCCTTTTCTATGGACTTAAGTTCTTTAAAATTACTTTTTAAATGAAGCTTTTTGAATATTCCAAAAAATAACTGTTTAATAATGCCTGATACATTCTTGATTTTAGATGCTCCACTAGGCAAACCATTTATAAGATAAATCTTGTCTTTCCTTATTTGTCTTGCCTTTCCTTCTCCAACTCCTCCTCCATTTTTTAAAAATAAAACCTTTAGCATTTCTCACAAAGTCTTAGTGATTGCATCTCTATCCTATGGTGGTCTCGTGGTTTTTCAAGTTGTGAAAACATCACAATGGTTTTTGAATTACCAAATTTACCATTTATCTTGAAATGCTCCTTTAATTACTCATCTCCTTGCCTTAAAAAATCTTTTGAACTTAAATGTATTATTAAATATAAATACAAATAAAATCAGAAAATTTTCTGTTTATTATGTTTTCAGTCATCTTCATACCTTTCAACACCTTCAAGTGCTTCTAAACCAAATGTGGCTGCTTTGGTAACTCCATTAGACATCAAAGCTAAGGTAGAAACAGATGATGGGAAAAAAAATTCCCTGGATGAACTTAGAGCTCAGGTTGCTGAATTGCTGTGCATCGTAGAAGCACTGAAAAAGGATCATGGGTAAGTAGCCCTTGTTTTCTTCTTTGAGTATTATTTAACACATGTGTAAAGAATTCTTCCAAATCATATCAAGTAAAGATGTAATCTGCCAAGTTTCTGGTATTATGAGAAGTATGTTTTTAAAGATATTTTCATTAATATTGCTTCTCTCCTCTTGTCAAAAAACTTGAAATAAAAATACTTGCTCTAGTAGCCTGATAATAGAAAAGGTACATATGTACCAACAATTAAAGGCTAGAAATCTTCTGGTCAAACACAGGGGTTAATTAGTCTTAATACTAGGAAAAATCATACTGTATTTTGGATCCAGGGTATGTCTGTATATTTACTTCTCAGAGAGCTTTGATCACTATTTATTCTAGAATTGAGTTGGATACTTATAAAACAAATGGGCTGGGATAGGTAATCTCTAAGGCCCTTCTCTAAACTTTGAAAGTTTTTGATAATAGTATATGGTGAGGCTAAGTAAAAGTTAAGGACTTTTTAGAGCTAAAATAGATGTAAAAGATCACCCAGTTTTAGCCCTTCCCTCCCTTCTTTTAAATGGAGAAATAAAGGTTTGGAGAGTTAAAGCTTGTGTGCCTATGATCACACAGCTCTTATAATGGCAGAACTAGAACTCAAACCCAAGTCTTCTAGTGGTTTAGAGATCTTTTTTATAGTCATTACTCTTTGAATTTTAAAACAGTAACTAACATCTTAAACATAATTCTGCAAAAGTCCAGTAAGTAAAACAGGTAAAAGATTGGCTAATTTAACTGAACTGAGGCTTAGAGTTTAGGTTCCCTTCCCCTATCTTAGTTTCCCCTGTAGCTTCTAAAAGTTAGGTTTTGAAATACAGAATCTGGTAAAAAAACGTCACTGCCAGAGACTTTTGGCATTGGATTATCTATTAAAAACAACATTGAGATTAACAGTACAATTTGCCATTTATGGAGTAATTTTACAAACACCTCTTAGGTAGAAACAAAAACGTTTTATCTTGAATGGCTACTTATATGTATATATTATACACATACATTAAAAAATATATGTATATATCTCATAGATAATGTTTGTAAATTGATACATGATAGGTCTTTCTTGAATCCTTATCTGTCACGAGTGGCATATTTTTTTACAGATTCTGTAATATACACGTTTAAATATTAATAAAGTTTGTTCATCTAATAAGTATTGACTACCATCCATGTGCCATGTAGGGAACTCCCTTGGTTTGTTGATTTTGATATTATACACTTTTGTTGATACCAAGTATGCTATTTTTAATGACCTTATAAGTACATATATAAATTGTCTGCAGGTGCTCCTAAATTAGCTGTAGGATGAATTAAGTATTTATAATTTAATATATATTTTAAAACATATAGGTCATATATTTTAGAAGCCTTTTCCAAAAGGTATTTTCAAAGTCTTGGGTTCCTCCAGGAAAGTGAAATCAAATCAATGGCAGTTTTTTTAATCTGAAAAAGAAGAGCCTCACAGGAGAATGGATAAATATATACTGGTATATTGATACAACAAAACACTAGACACTGTACAACAATAAAAATAAATTAATTGCAGCTGCATGTGTCAACATGAATTAATCTAAAATATGTTCAGAAAGGGAAAGAGACATGCATATAGCATGTCATTTATGTAAAGTTTGAAATGCATGTGAAAGATATTGTTTCAAGATATATTTGTATATGTGATAAAACTAGAAAGAAAAGTAAAGGAATAATAAAGATTATAAAACTTTTCCTGTGTGAAGGAGAGGGGGAGAATATTATTAAGGAGGAGGGGAGGGGTTGCTTTGGCTTTCATAGGTACTAGTAATCGTATTTTATTTCTTACACTGACTTCAAGTTTTTGGGTTTGGAATAGTCTTGCATTCAATATTAAAATCCAAAGTGCATGGAAAAGGTCATTAAAAAATTGAAGGAGATTGACATGGAAAAATCTATAGAGAACTATACCAGTAATCTATTTCTTCAGTAGGAAAATTATAGAACAAGATGTACCATTTGATCCTGTTCTTGTAAAAAGAACAATGCTACATAAAAATTTTATATTTGTAAATGTTTTTTAAAGGAACAGTAAAAATGTTGTGCTAAGTTATCAGATTAAAAAACAAATAATTAGGATAATGTAACCTATTATAGATAAATATATCAGGATAAATATTCTAGAAAGCAGAACCTAATTTAGATGTATATTAAGTGCTTAATAATCTTAGAATAATTTGAAAAAAGAAAGCATTATTTAATTTAGTGACAACCTTATAAAAGTATGAAGTTAACTCACTTAGAAACACATACCACTCACCAAAATAAACTCTAGATCTGAGTTACAGTAATATTATTTTAAAAATTATAGTCAGTAAAAAACAGTAGAAAATTTACTCCCAATATAGAAAATAGATTTATAATCATTAAAACCAGAGGAGAAATTAATTTTTAAACTCTACAACTTAAAACTTCATTACTCATATAATTCATTTTTCCTGAGAGTTTTCGCAAGTTTCTCATGCTATTATTTCTACAATACTCTTGAATCAAGAGAATTTTCCTATGTCGAGAGGCTGAAAATTTCCTTTTTGATTTACAAGTTTAATATACTGATGTAGTTGTGATGTTAAGTAGAATTCCTGTTGTTTCCATTCCTTTCATCCCCCGAAAAACCAACTAAACAAAAACCCTGGATATTCAAATACCAAGCAACAGTTATTTAAAATAAGAAAATTTTAACAGTATGGAAATGTTCTTAAATATTTTGTGAAAAGACACCACATAGAATATATACTTTTGACTGTGGAGGAAAAAGTGACTAAAGATATAACTGAACACAGAAAAATAGAAACATGAATTAAGGAAGAGGGGAGATAGTTGATTAAGTTTTTGTTTATTGGTTTGGTAATTTTGATATAATAATTTAAAAAGAAATAGAAATGTAAATTCCAAGTTATCCTATTACATAAACTATAATTTCCCTTGTGCTGTGATGGGTTTTGACGTTCATTTTACCAAATTGTTGGAACTCTAAAATATCCAACCTGGGAAATAACTGAATATGGAGAATTCCTTGCCAGTTGTTATTTCTTTATCATGAGCTGCTCTGTATTCACTTAAAAATGTCTTTATCTCAGGTTTTTATGGTATTTCTGATATTTTAATTATAAAAATATATATTGAAATACATATGTGTTATATTGGCCCACTCCAACTAGATAATTTGAAATTTTTCTAAGTCAACATAGCTATTTCCTTTAAAAAGTTTCCTTGGTATGTCGGGCAACAAAGATCCTGTTAACATTAGTCATGTATATTATTAATTGAAAGACTTAACATTATAGTAATAAATTGTTTTTAGGAGAGAACTGGAAAAACTACGAAAAGATTTGGAAGAAGAAAAGGCAATGAGAAGCAATCTAGAGGTAATTCATTTCTCCCAGCATTGAGATTGTAGTAAACATGAATTATTCCTGTTTTTTTCCAACCTAGATGGGTGATTGGATCTATTACAAATTATACCCTCCTACTTCAGTTGGATACTCCCTGCTGCTTGATAGCCATTTAATTAGTCTCTAGTTGACTCCTGTCATATTCCATTCATGCACTTGGCAGCATTAACCTTCATGGACAGTTGGCATGAGGCACAGGGTATGCGCTGATGAATAAAACAAACATGGTTCTTGCCTATTAAGAATGTCTCGTTCTCTATATTTTGCCCTCAGCACTGCTGCTTTCTTGAGCTACAATCCTCTTTTCTTCACAGTTAAACTTTTGCTTTGTCTGGGGCAGGGCAGAAGGTGGTGGTCGTTGTGGTATGGCTATATATTTGCTGACTAATAATATAATTTGATTTCTCACTGAGAGCTTACTTTATAATGTCATCATCTTCACTCTCTGTTGATGACTAACAATTTCACTTTGTTCTCATCTTCCTTAACTTTTTTTGCATCCTCCTTGACTTTGGTCTTCATTGGTATTCTTCTCTTCCATGTGTCAGCGAAAAGTGTTTCTCAGAGTCTCTCCAATTCTGTTTTTAAGTATTTCATACTCATCCCTAGTTTTACCCTGCATCATTACTTATTTCTTCTGTTAGTGTTGTGGAACAGGGGAACATGTGACCTGCTGTTAAAAACACTGAGCTCCTCTTCTGACTCACACTTGTGACTTTCAGCTCTAACTGTGTCAGTTAGGCTAAGCACTTTCTGTACATTATCTCACTGGACACACAATAGCTTGTTTTAAGATTGGGAAACTAGGGTTTAGAATGATTAAATGAGCAGTGGAGCTGAAATTTTGAACAGAAGCAGCCAGACCTCAGAACCTTTGCTTTTAGGCATTGTTATACTGTTTGAACTTGTGGAAGTCACTCAACCTCCTTTAGCTTTAGTTGTTGAGATAATATATGTGAAGGTATTTGGTAAGTTATCAAAACTCCATTCTTACTCTTATATCCCCTTTATTTGCACTTCCCCTTCTTTGTATGAAAATACTCAACTTTGCCCTCTATTCAAAAAAAAGAGAAAACAGAAAAGCACCCTTTCAGGTCCAGCTGCCCTCTTGATTTACTGTAGTTTCCACTTTCATTTAAGGTTCATTTGTTGCAAAGCAAAAACAACCAAAAAAGAGTATGCATTTGTGGTCTCCAATTCTTTAGCTTTAAGTCGGTCTTTAGCCCTTTCCGTTTTAGGTTTACTAATGGCAACTCCAGTGTCTTTTCAGTTTCCACTGCATTTCACATTTTTAAATGCATAGCTATCTTTTCAAAGGTTTGTTGTGCCTTATGTGATCCTGTATTCTTCTGTCTGTAACTTCTCTATCTCCTCCTCCTTTCTTCCACCTTCAGTACTCACCTTGGCCCTCCTGAGTGTACACTCTTTTTTTAAATCTGTGCCCATGCATCTGTGATTAGCTCTAGAGCATCTCCCATTTAAGTGTCATTCTCCTTTTCCCAGCTTCTTTCCTGTGTTTCTAGCTATTAGTCTCCTTGGATGTTCCACTGTGAACTTAGACTTAGCATGTCTCCTATTAAGTTTATTTGGCTTCCTTTCCCATTCATTGATATTTTTTTTCTGTTGATGGTTTCAGTGCCATTCTAGTCATGCAGCTCTGTGTGCTACTTCTGTTCTTTTCTAGTGCTGTTCATTTTCAGGCCTATTAGCTTTGCTTCCTAACTTTATCGCTTTTTTCCATTATTTCTTTCCTTTTCTAATGCTCCTTCTATTTAGCCTGTTTAAGTTTCTCTTATTCTTATCTCAAATTAATCTTTTCTTGCTCAGTATTTTCACAAACTGTTACTTGCTGAATAAAGTTCAAAGCTCTCACCTTAGAATGTGAGGTCTTACATGTCCTGGGCCTAGTGTATTTTTCTTTCTTCACTTGCTGATCCTCAGTTGTCCCTTACAACTAATGCATCTGAATTTTTACTCTTACTGCCTTTTCCTGGATTTTTCTTTTGTCTCATCTTGTTGTGCCCAAGTTCTACAGATTCTCAAGGCACAGCTCAAAGAATCAGCTTCTTAAGTTGATACCAGTCTTCTGATTGAAAGTGATTTTGTCTTCCAGATTCATGTCCTTTAGTTTTGTTAGAGATGAATAAGTAATAATTTCCTATCATATCACTGTTACATTATGTACTTAATTTGCCTGTCTTCTAGACTGTAAGACTGTTGAAGGTGTGACCTACATTTGTTTCATCTTTGTCCATAGCCCATAGCACAGTGCTGTATACATACTAGATAGCTAATAATTTTTTGTTAAATTAATAAATGTTAGAGGATACATGTTTTAAAATGTCTTAAATTCCCAGTGTGTAGCAAGGTAGAAATTCAGAAAAATGTTTTAAATGCTTAACTGTCATTCTTATATTTCACACATACATGTGTATATTCATATATGAAAATAAAGTGATAAGGTAAGTAAGAGGCACTAAGAGTGTTAAATTTGTGTATATGATTTAATTTGTCATAAAAATCATGACAAGGGTCTAGTGAATTGTTTCTTTTTTGAAGAATTTCATTTGATTGAGTTTTTCCAGCAAAATGAGCTGTTATATAGCCTCTCACTGACTTGTATTACAAATTTTTTTTCCTAATGGGGAAAGTTAGACCTTTGTATTTGTAAAAGCACACTTAATAAGGCATTGGAGTTTTAGGATCATATGTTTAAAGGAGAAATTAAATTTTCCCAAAAGTTAATAGTTCTTTGAACTACTATGAAGTTAACATTATCTAGTCTTAGATTATACTGAGGAGTAATAAAAAGAACTACAAATGAACATGAAAATTCTTGAAGAGAAACTCTGGCAACATAAATATTTGCCTGATACCTAAATTTGTGGGACAGATAGCAGTCTTTAGGGAGTATTTCTGACTAGATGCAGGTTATTTTTCTAATCCCCTACTCCCTCTTCCACCACCAAGACTAGTTAGTGGTAACAGCTGGTTAGTTGGTTTAAGTTGATATAGCTGGTTAATGTGTGTTTGGAATAAAGATGCTGGTAAGCATGTCAGCCTGAAGTTTGAAGTTGTTTTTGTCTCAATCTTGGCTGAAGACAGACTTGTCCCAATCTAATGCTGCTAGTAAAATGTTTAGTTAATAATCATATTAGTCAAAGAACAACATCAGGAAAGAACCTGGAATTAACAAACCCTTTTTGAATGATTGGAATTCCTTAGGAGATTGTGAGCATATTGAAATTAAACTTTTGGACTACCGTGAAGTGCTCATGATTTAATAATGAACTATTTGTCAGAGGTTAGCCGTAACATACACTGTTTGCATTCACTGGGGAGAGGGGTGGTGCTTTCAGGAGAAGGTAAGGCTAAATACTTATACACACAGTGAAAGGTCAGGGATGGTCAGAATACTGTATAATGGGGAAGAGCATATGAAAACTGGGCTTTAGCACCTTAGACCTTACCAATACAAATTATGTACAATTCCTAGCATGGAACCATTGACATGGTATTTAATCTCTTTAAGTCTTAGTTATTTGCAATCTGTCAAATAACTGTATTCTGAAAATTTAATGAATTTTTCTAATTTTAAGTTTCTTAAATTGTGAATTTCTGTTAATCGAAGGATACCTTCTAAAGGTGGAAATATTTTCAACACACTGACTGAATCAGTCTTATATATTCCTGGGCTTTACAGATAATTTAATCTAGAACATACTGTTTACAGATAAGGAAATTGAGACCAAGGAAGATTAAGTGATTTACCAGTATCACATAGGTAGTAAGTGAAAAACAGAATTAAACTGGTACTACTTTTTTTAACTGCCCTGCTCCCTTTAATTACAGGTATGCTATCATTTTTTAAATTTTGTGTCAAGTGTTCTTTTGTTCACTTGTAGAACTGATTTTCTTACAGTTCTCTCAGATACTAATATTGCTTAACATTTTTCTGGCTGAAACTGTAGTTACTCTTTTTGTTGTTACCTGCCATTTAGGAACCTGCATTGTGATGTTTCCTTCTGGTGAACTTTTTCTATATTTATTACACCCTTGGAAATTAGATTTTAGATGAAAATAAAAATCTAGAGGTTTGAAAGTATCACATTTTAATGACATAGGATTAAATAGAGAAACTGCTCAATTAAAGGTATTTTATCTGTTCTTAATTTATATTTTGTATTTTAGGTGGAAATAGAAAGGCTGAAAAAAGTAGTTCTGTATTCTTGAAGATCATAGAACCAGTGTTTTTAACGTTCGAGGGACTCAAGCAACACTATGAACTTCAACTGACTTGTTACTTAAAATAACAAATGCTGATGTCATGATAAAGAAATGAGTGTATGAATTATAATACCTATAGAAAAGTGGAGGGTGAATGTTCTTTATATATTTTATTTTGCCAATATGAAGAAAATGAGGCCTTATTCCTTATGTGCTGGAATTGCAAACTTTCTCTTTTTTTTTGTTTGCTTGAAAATACTACTGAATCTGTATAAAAAGGAAAGTTCACAATAGTTTTTTTTATTGAGACATGTATTATTTTTAAAGAGATCTATACTATAAATATGGTGATATCTTCACAAATAATCTGTAAAATGTACTAATTCTAGTCATGCAGCTCTGTGTGCTACTTCTGTTCTTTTCTAGTGCTGTTCATTTTCAGGCCTATTAGCTTTGCTTCCTAACTTTATCGCTTTTTTCCATTATTTCTTTCCTTTTCTAATGCTCCTTCTATTTAGCCTGTTTAAGTTTCTCTTATTCTTATCTCAAATTAATCTTTTCTTGCTCAGTATTTTCACAAACTGTTACTTGCTGAATAAAGTTCAAAGCTCTCACCTTAGAATGTGAGGTCTTACATGTCCTGGGCCTAGTGTATTTTTCTTTCTTCACTTGCTGATCCTCAGTTGTCCCTTACAACTAATGCATCTGAATTTTTACTCTTACTGCCTTTTCCTGGATTTTTCTTTTGTCTCATCTTGTTGTGCCCAAGTTCTACAGATTCTCAAGGCACAGCTCAAAGAATCAGCTTCTTAAGTTGATACCAGTCTTCTGATTGAAAGTGATTTTGTCTTCCAGATTCATGTCCTTTAGTTTTGTTAGAGATGAATAAGTAATAATTTCCTATCATATCACTGTTACATTATGTACTTAATTTGCCTGTCTTCTAGACTGTAAGACTGTTGAAGGTGTGACCTACATTTGTTTCATCTTTGTCCATAGCCCATAGCACAGTGCTGTATACATACTAGATAGCTAATAATTTTTTGTTAAATTAATAAATGTTAGAGGATACATGTTTTAAAATGTCTTAAATTCCCAGTGTGTAGCAAGGTAGAAATTCAGAAAAATGTTTTAAATGCTTAACTGTCATTCTTATATTTCACACATACATGTGTATATTCATATATGAAAATAAAGTGATAAGGTAAGTAAGAGGCACTAAGAGTGTTAAATTTGTGTATATGATTTAATTTGTCATAAAAATCATGACAAGGGTCTAGTGAATTGTTTCTTTTTTGAAGAATTTCATTTGATTGAGTTTTTCCAGCAAAATGAGCTGTTATATAGCCTCTCACTGACTTGTATTACAAATTTTTTTTCCTAATGGGGAAAGTTAGACCTTTGTATTTGTAAAAGCACACTTAATAAGGCATTGGAGTTTTAGGATCATATGTTTAAAGGAGAAATTAAATTTTCCCAAAAGTTAATAGTTCTTTGAACTACTATGAAGTTAACATTATCTAGTCTTAAATTATACTGGGGAGTAATAAAAAGAACTACAAATGAACATGAAAATTCTTGAAGAGAAACTCTGGCAACATAAATATTTGCCTGATACCTAAATTTATGGGACAGATAGCAGTCTTTAGGGAGTATTTCTGACTAGATGCAGGTTATTTTTCTAACCCCCTACTCCCTCTTCCACCACCAAGACTAGTTAGTGGTAACAGCTGGTTAGTTGGTTTAAGTTGATATAGCTGGTTAATGTGTGTTTGGAATAAAGATGCTGATAAGCATGTCAGCCTGAAGTTTGAAGTTGTTTTTGTCTCAATCTTGGCTGAAGACAGACTTGTCCCAATCTAATGCTGCTAGTAAAATGTTTAGTTAATAATCATATTAGTCAAAGAACAACATCAGGAAAGAACCTGGAATTAACAAACCCTTTTTGAATGATTGGAATTCCTTAGGAGATTGTGAGCATATTGAAATTAAACTTTTGGACTACCGTGAAGTGCTCATGATTTAATAATGAACTATTTGTCAGAGGTTAGCCGTAACATACACTGTTTGCATTCACTGGGGAGAGGGGTGGTGCTTTCAGGAGAAGGTAAGGCTAAATACTTATACACACAGTGAAAGGTCAGGGATGGTCAGAATACTGTATAATGGGGAAGAGCATATGAAAACTGGGCTTTAGCACCTTAGACCTTACCAATACAAATTATGTACAATTCCTAGCATGGAACCATTGACATGGTATTTAATCTCTTTAAGTCTTAGTTATTTGCAATCTGTCAAATAACTGTATTCTGAAAATTTAATGAATTTTTCTAATTTTAAGTTTCTTAAATTGTGAATTTCTGTTAATCGAAGGATACCTTCTAAAGGTGGAAATATTTTCAACACACTGACTGAATCAGTCTTATATATTCCTGGGCTTTACAGATAATTTAATCTAGAACATACTGTTTACAGATAAGGAAATTGAGACCAAGGAAGATTAAGTGATTTACCAGTATCACATAGGTAGTAAGTGAAAAACAGAATTAAACTGGTACTACTTTTTTTAACTGCCCTGCTCCCTTTAATTACAGGTATGCTATCATTTTTTAAATTTTGTGTCAAGTGTTCTTTTGTTCACTTGTAGAACTGATTTTCTTACAGTTCTCTCAGATACTAATATTGCTTAACATTTTTCTGGCTGAAACTGTAGTTACTCTTTTTGTTGTTACCTGCCATTTAGGAACCTGCATTGTGATGTTTCCTTCTGGTGAACTTTTTCTATATTTATTACACCCTTGGAAATTAGATTTTAGATGAAAATAAAAATCTAGAGGTTTGAAAGTATCACATTTTAATGACATAGGATTAAATAGAGAAACTGCTCAATTAAAGGTATTTTATCTGTTCTTAATTTATATTTTGTATTTTAGGTGGAAATAGAAAGGCTGAAAAAAGTAGTTCTGTATTCTTGAAGATCATAGAACCAGTGTTTTTAACGTTCGAGGGACTCAAGCAACACTATGAACTTCAACTGACTTGTTACTTAAAATAACAAATGCTGATGTCATGATAAAGAAATGAGTGTATGAATTATAATACCTATAGAAAAGTGGAGGGTGAATGTTCTTTATATATTTTATTTTGCCAATATGAAGAAAATGAGGCCTTATTCCTTATGTGCTGGAATTGCAAACTTTCTCTTTTTTTGTTTGCTTGAAAATACTACTGAATCTGTATAAAAAGGAAAGTTCACAATAGTTTTTTTTATTGAGACATGTATTATTTTTAAAGAGATCTATACTATAAATATGGTGATATCTTCACAAATAATCTGTAAAATGTACTATTTGAGAGGGACAGATTAGCTTTATAGTAACTATACTCACTACTTTTCCCATAATACATAAGAGATATAAACTTTGTATATATATTTTTTTACTATTAGCTTTTTATCCAGGATGACACTGTGGTGCCTCTTTGCAGTGCTGTATACTTTGGGGATGAAATAGGAGTTTCCTAGCTTTAAACCAGATTATTCACCCAGGCATATAGTAATAACTAATGAAGTGATCCAAGTAATTTCTTCAGCCTTTAGAATATTTTATATTGCTTGCACTATAGGATTCATAAAAGGAATTTAGTTAATGTGTATTGGGTTGCTAAGTTTATTTGGGAAAATACGAGCTGCATTTTAAATTGATTAGGTTTAGAAAACTGAAAATGTCAACATAACCCTTGTGCCTAGAAACTATAGCACACACAATAAGCAAACACCAGCCCTATTGCTGTACTTTTCTGCTTTTTTTATAGGCCCCAATAATACTCATTTTATGATCTTGCGACTTAATTATTCGTGTCCCTCCCTCTGATTTTTAATAATGATAATTTTAGGAAAACAAAACTCAAAGCTTTCACACTTCCATGTGAGAGGTTTCATACTTTGACAGGTTATCGTATGTATACTCAGGTTTTACAATTTGTAATTTACCTAATAGACCCAACTAACTGGGGGAGCAGTTTTGGGCTGCCAACTTTATAAAGTGTTAGTATATCACAAACTAATACTACAAATATTTAAAACCAAGTATAGTTGACCGTATTCAAAACATATTTTCACAAAATAGATGAATTCACAGTTTCTTCAGAGTCACTTAGGAACAGTTGAATGTTTTAAAATGTTAATATGTCTCAAAATGTGGGTTTATATTAAAAGTAGAAAATTTGAACTTTCTTATTGCAAAAAATAGATTTTTAAGCTTTAGCAAATGACATTCAGATTTTGAGTACTGTCTTTCATGCTTCCATTTTATTGTACTTTAAACCACCAAACCTTTATTTTTTCTTCTAAGTTTTAATGAGTTATAATACTGAAATCTTATGTTAATGAATTTCATCATGTTTCAAGTACAAGAGAACTGGAGTAGAAAATTTTAGAAATTCCAGTACGTAATTACTTAATGTTAAATTCACAACCTACATTAGTGCTTTTGGAGAAACGTGATTGTGCATTGATTGTGTACATTTTATCTCTAAAGTCCTGGTGCGCTTCTGCTGAGGTCACTACTGAACAAAGTTGTTTATTCTGTTCTAATGTTTTTAAATGATTTGTCAAATGATTACCTTCTCATTAAATAAATTAGAAATGACTATATTTTAATGGACGTCCTTAAAAATAAAACAGTGTATTTCAGAAATCATCCTCCAGCTTTCTAAATGGCAAATCTATTAAGCAATTCTCTCCGTCAAAACAGACACTTTGTAATGGGGTGGGGAATATTTCCAGCAGATTCAGGCTATTCTTAAAATTTTCATTGCTCATTTTCTCACTAGAGCAGAGAATCAAGATGGTCATGAGTACTGAAATAGATTTAAAGTTATTTGCTTGTATACTCCTTATTCAGAATAGAAAAATAATTGAAGTACTGGTCTCTTGTTTTTTTTTCCTTTGACCAAATAGTAAAGAAAAGAAAACCAAACTCAACCTCAAAGGGAAAAATAATTAGTCTAGCAATTTGCTTGTATTTGCTCTTGATACGACAATTTAATTCCTCTTCATAATGTTCATATTACAAAATGGTATGTAGTAATAATAGCTGTTTGTTCCTGGAGCGGTAAATCATTTTCTTCTGTAAGTGCAAACGAAAGGCTGGAGGTGAACAGCATGGAATCGAGCTGTCATTGCCAAATTATTAGTGAGTGTATTTTTCAGGTTTGCTATTTGAAAACACATAATGTTACTAATTTTCCTGATTGTATTTCAGCATTAGGAGGATTGTGTGTGTGCATGTGACCACTAAGCTTTCAGTAGTTTGGTCTTACTATAAAGCTGTTTACCTCTTTACAAAATTTAAGTCTGAAGACAGGAAGAAAG